AAGGAAAGACGTTGAAAGGAGATGTACCTAGAGGTTGTAGGTGACAGAAGGGAATGGTCTGCAGTCTGCTCCTTGTTCGTATCGTAACCCTTTCGAACGCCGATACAATGATCCTCCCTGTCCTTCACGATATCTTGTGCGCCTTGGAAGCACTGGAGACCTTTGACGGCCAGGATACGACTACTCTTGATCTAATCCAAGCATCCCCGTATCCCCCGCATCTTTTTATCCCCAATTTTTTTGCCAACGTTTTTCAATTTTAATTCAGAGAGATAATTTTTAGTTTTAGTTTGTTAGGGGAAAAAACGCTTTAGTATTTGTATGAGAAAATCGGTAAGAAGCATTTATTGACAAATGTTGGCATAAAAATATACAGCTTTTTTTACCAGAGCATAAAAATATACAACTGATCATTACTGACTGAGAAAATTAAATATAAAGAGATTAAAAACTTCAGCTTTTTCAATTTTTCATAAGTTTGACTTGTAAATGTCTTGTAAATATGAAAATATAAATATAAATATAAATTATTAAATTTAATTTGTAAATATAAAAAAATGTGATCCCTCTATATTTAATTTTTTTTTAATTTGGGACTTATAAATAATTAATTTTTACTTCGAAAAGGAAATTAGTCAAATTACTCATATATATATCACGTAAGAAATCATCAATGTCCAAATATTTCATATTTGCTAATTAAACTTGCATATTTACAAGTTGATTTGCGTGGTTTGTAAATTAATTTTGATAATTTATATTTACAAATCAGTCTTCTATATTTATAAGTGGAGTTGTGTCATTTAAAATCCAATAAAAAGTTCATTGGCAAATATAACTGCAAAAATATCTAATTTGCAAAACACGTACCAAAGAAATAACTAACGCAGAATATTGAAGAATGAAGAGTACTCACAGATTTTTATTTTGGTTATTTTTCTCAAATATGTTTGCCAAAGGGTTCTTAATCTTATTTTTTTAGTATATATGTCCCTAAAAATTAAAAAACCCGGGGGCGGGGTGAATAAAATCCCACCAAAAAATGATAAACAGTGGGCATTTTTACGCATAGTATATAAATGCTTTTTCTTTTGGCAAGTGTAAGATACAAGTCATAGATGTTTAAGAGCTAGGACCACATGAACAATTAATCACCTCAATCCTTTTGGACCAAACAAAAAAAAAACCTCAATCTTTGACTAATGTAATTTTCGTTTTGACATGTATGGGGAAAAAAATCCGCACTTCGTACAACGTCGCATTGCTCAGACCATATGTTATTAGGTCCTCTTGTTCTTGCTTCCAAACATCAAAGCCAGATAAAACAGAAATCTGAAGAAAAATCCCCATGCAATGGTTATCCACAGGCAATCCCACTTACTCAGGTCCGTAATCCCCTGCTGCTTCAGTATATCCATTCCCGTGGTCACGCACGTCGAGCTCGTTATGTCCATCCCTAGCGTCTTGCTCATACTCTTCAGCAACTCCACCTTCAGTGTCTCCGGCACCGCCCCCAGCGGCGACATGTCGAACATCTGAGTCCCTCTCACGAAGCACCTCGGAGGCTGAATGTCAAACTCGTTCTGCAAAACGCCCTCGTATGGGTACTTCACCAGTGAAATATAGTGAAACCATATCCAGTACGCAGGAATTCTGTCCCTGCTTATGAAGAACCCACTGAACAGCACGAAGTATGCTATAATGGCAACCACCACGGTGAAGCCCAACATCACGTGGGCAACCACTCCTGAAAGAAACGTCACGAAGGAGTTCCCTGCCCAGAAAGACGCCACGATGATCAAAAAGTAAAAGAAGAACCCCGAGGCGCCGCCGGCCAGACCCACCGCCCAGAACGTCGTGGCGGCGAATGCTAAGGAGAGGAAAATTAAGGATGGTATCGAGATGATTGAATGGGCCAGAACGTACGAGGATCGACGGTAGGCGTTGTAGGCGGTTTCTCTCATGAAGATGTATCGCTCTTGGAGGAAGACGGGCATAGCCTCGGCGCAGGTGTAGAAGGTAGTGGAAATGGCGAAGGCGAAGAAACCTAATCGTTCTTGAGCACCTTTAGGAGAACTGTCGAGATGCCAGAAGATAGTGGCCAGGATGATTCCGGTTATGAGAACTGCACCGAATCGAATGCCAAACAGTTCGGGCATCCTTCTGGAATTGATCAGCGATCGCTTCGCTATCACAGCCATTTCGATCCAGAAAGGGTTTGCAAAGGTTGGAACAGACGATGACATTGTGAGATTCGAATTATTTGGCGCCCCAGAGACTAACTTGCCTCGAGAAATGCTCGCGCCAATGGCGTCCTTGAGTGAAACCCTTTGTCCATTAATGGAGGTTTCATGGCCGTTGGGTTTGCTTTTCAGTTGATTCGACTGCCAAGACTTGTTGAACTCCACTAAGCCTTTGGTTCCACCATTGTTTTGTTCGAGCTCACGAATGAGGTCGAGGGCGAACTCAGTGCGGTTCTCGTTATCGGGGATCGGGTGTCCGAACTCCGAGAAGAAGCGCTGCAGATTCGCCGGCAAACCACTATATACAGTTTGACCGTGTGAGAGGAAAATCAACCGGTCTAATAATCCGACGATTCTGTAACTTGGTTGGTGTATGGACAAGATGACGATGCTTCCGCTTTGAGCTATTCGTTGTAGCACCTTGACGACCATGTATGCGCTGGTGGAGTCAAGGCCTGAAGTGGGTTCGTCGAGGAACAGGACGATCGGGTCATGAATGATATCAATTCCGATGGAGACGCGACGTCTTTCACCTCCGGAGACGCCACGGTGGCCTTCGTCACCGATGACAGTATTGGCGGCATTACGGAGACCCAACTGGTCGATGAGAGCTTGGACTCTGGCCTTCTTTCTGGACTTAGAGAGGGAGCGAGGAAGCCTGAACTCAGCGGAAAACATGAGGGTCTCTTCCACAGTGAGCATGGGAAAGAGAAGATCGTCCTGCATGACATAAGCTGAAATCACTTTCAGAAGACTGGAATCCAAAGCTTCACCGTTTAACGTGATCATTCCTTTCAAGCTCTCTTTGGAGATTCTGTTGGCGAGGGCGTCGATCAGTGTTGATTTGCCAGACCCGCTGGCGCCTAGAACGGCCATGATTTCTCCATCACGGGCCTCGCCGGAAATATCATTGAGCAAAACTTTGGTAGTCTTCGATTCAGATTCAGCCACACCATGAACTTCCGGCGAGGAATCCAAATCCATGTGTTTTGGAGAGAAGCAAGAGGACAGGCTCATTTTGCGACGGACTTTAACGCTATAAGTCAAGTGGGTGAAGGAAAGGACGAAGGAATGAGAAGGAGGAGGAGGAGGAGGAGCGAGGTCGAGGACGTGGTGGGATTGGGAGCCGGCATCGTTTTGAGCATCTTCGACGCGTTTGAGGAGGTCAGCGAGGGAGGGGCTGCGGGAGACGTGGGCTCCGGCTGACCTCTGGTATGGGAGTTGGACGAGCTCCATGGATTGATTGAAGAAGGTACATCTGTCATCGGTGGAGGGCGCCGGGGACGGCAAAGTTTGCGGCGGAGTTGGGCGAGACATTGGTGAGAGAAGGTTATGGCAGCAAGAGTAATGAGGATTTGGTAATTATATAGAGAAGGGAAAGGAAAAATGCATGAAGACTAGAGAAGTTTGGTAATGGAAGCATCCAAATCCAACCGTTGAAATAAATGTACATATGCAAGTGCAGAGTTAACATGCGAAGAGTAGACGAGCGCAGGTACGCATGGGATTCAGACCCTCTCCAGCAACAATATCATCCGTCTATTTAATCTAATGGTCTAGAAACAAGGCCAACTTATCAAATCATTTAAGAAACATAATAATAGTATTAATATAAACGGCGGCTCTTTCATTAATCTAAGGACGGGGAAATTTCATTCATCATAACCAAGCATAAAGGCAAAGGGCAAAGGCAAAAGTCAACACAGACAGCAAGAAGTCACGTCAGGTGAAGACAAATGTATTTTTTTTATAAATAAAAACAAATACTACTTTAATCCTAAATATAATAACTAGTTGACTAATTTGAATGGATTAAAAAGATACTCCTCTGATCCTTAATATAAGACCCATTTAACTAATTTGATTAGATTAAAGAAGTTAGGTAAGTTAGTTAATTATAAGAAAAGTGACACATTTTTCCTAAAACACCATAATTATCTTTCTTAATACCCCCTCTCCCTCTTCTACTTGATTATGGTTGAGGGAGTATCCATAGGGGTAATTTAGAGAAAATTGATAAATATGAGAAATGGGTCTTATATTTAGAACCAAAATCAACTCAAGAATTGGGTGCTATATTAAGGACCGGAGGAGTAAATTAAGTTAGTTATTTGTAATAAATAGATGTTGTCTTTCTTAAAATATCTTTGCTAATCAAATATATTGGCTAGAACTACCATTATTAGAAGGAATGTCTTAGAAAAAATGTATAAATATGAGAGACAAAGTGAATTAGAATCTTATATTTTAGACCAAAATAAAATTCAAATCAACTCTTATATGTTAAGGACAGAAGGTAGTATGTAAAAAGAAAGAAAATATATGTAGGAATATTGAAGTAAAATGGAACAAGACTTGGACGCCAGAGATGTTCAAGGCTTCATCCCCCTTTTGCTACTGATTAATTTTTTAAATTGTATACAAGATGCTTAGAAAAGGCGCGTGAAAAATTCTCCCTTTTTTCTGAATAAAATTACAAATATTAATTCAGGTTTACGGTGATTTTGATATAAATTTCATTAATAATTTTGGTCCTCGGCAGTATTTTCGGGCGGCTTGGTAAGGTGTCACATTTCTTGTATGTGTAACCAAAATCGCCAATTGGATGCAGCACATGTTTGGTTCTGGAGGGGTGGAGTAATGAAATGGAAGTCCAAACCAAAAAGAAAACTGCAGATAGAGGAGATGATCAAACAAGAATTAATATAAAATAATGAAGGATCATAGGTGTTTCACACGCTGGTTACATCAGATTTCAATGTTAGAGTCAAGTGTCTGAACATAAACTGCGTTCGGTCAATCGGGAAATAAGTAAAGATCCATAGACTGCATGCAAAAAGAGGTCACCAACACACCTAAATCTTAATTTATATATTTCACGTCTTCGTTCCCACACGAAACCGAACTGACACGACACACTCTCATTGGATGCCGCTTTCGTGATTCATTGTTAGCCATCAGTTTTAGGTACGGGGTGTTATATCTACCATCTAATTAGTTTTCATCCAGACAAGAATAATATAGAGAAATCTTAAAACAACGTAGCCTTATTTCTACCTTTCATTATTTCACAAAGTAGCTTTTCTCAACAACGTTAATTAGGCTAAACTAAGAACCAACCCAACAAGAGACGATGAGAGCGCCGCATAAGAAATGTCAAATAAACCGCTGCACAAGCAAAGCCCCCAAAAAAAAAAAAAAGCCTGGACAAAAGAGAACCAAGGAGTAGTATGAAGCAACTGATGAGATACTTCCTTTGAGTTTGAACTCCAAAGATTCGAGGAACAATTAGTATGGAACGTCGCTTGTCGCATGCGTCCGAATTTCTTATTGAAGGAGCAAATTTAGTTGAGAATTACGTTTGAGATTTTGAAGTTCAGACTTGTTGGTCCTTCGATGATAATTAACTCACTCTTTTGGTCCTTATTAACTTTTGTTTTCCCTTCCATGTGGACATTGGGCTACAGAGCGCAGGCGCACACTGGTTGTTGGCTGGTGTTGTGGCAGGCAGGGTTAGTATTGCACCAATCACCGGCCCTGGAGGGATTCTGCCCACTGGAACATAACCCAACAAACATGATCTGTAGTCCGTGCAGAAAGAATAGCATACTTAGTTCGTACTCCTCTGATCCTTAATATAAGATCCATTTAACTAATTTGATTAGATTAAGGAAGTTAGGTAAGTTAGTTAATTATAAGAAAAGTGACACATTTTTCCTAAAACACCATAATCATCTTTCTTAATACCCCTTCTCTCTTTTCTACTTGATTATGGTTGATGGAGTATCCATAGGGGTAATTTAGAGAAAATTGATAAATATGAGAAAGGGATCTTATATTTAGGACCAAAACCAACTCAAGAATTAGGTCTTATATTAAGGATCAGAGGAGTATATCATATATGGTCAGCATTTCCCAAAAAACAGAGACGCAGATTACCGGATGCGGAAACAAACAAAACCCACGCATTAATTGGCGAGTCATCTCCATCTCTGTGACGAGGAGGCATATTTTACATGTTTTTAAATGATTCACTCACAGAAGCTGGGCTGGTATCAGGATTTATGTATGCGATTGAATTAGCGATAGAAAAAATAATTTATTTGAAGTTTGATTTTTGAAAAAATTAGATTGAATAAAAATTAAATTGGGTAAATTTGGATAGAATTTTATAAAAATTAGGTTGAGTAAAAAGTTATTTAAATTATAAGAGAATAACAGGGGGAGTGAGAGAAAAATAATGAGAGAATAATATGAAAAGTATAATTATAAGCAAGATTGGTACTTCAAAAAGTGACCTACCTAAGCTTAACATTAATCGCGCGTTTCCATCCGTTTTTGACCCCCAAGACCCAAGTGCGATGGCTCAGAAGCTCTCCCAAGCAGGTTTCACTTTTTGAAATGGGCTTCTCATGAAAATAAGCTACTTACGGCTCACCAATCGCGCTCGCAAACACATACTACATTAACTTACACTTGGTATCGCTAGACAAGATTCTTAAACAGCCCCAGACAAGAAGCCATCTCATGCCTCTCCGGGTTTTGGGTGCTCTCGATCACTGGAGGAATGAATGCAACAAAACTTGGACAACAAAATGTTTCCAATGTATTGCAGCGAATCAGAAGCCTCGCTCAATCATGGGCACAACCGGCTTTCGTGATTTATCGTGGGAAGGAAGAACAGGAAGATATTGAAATGTGGACAAATGTTCCTCATAAGCCAGTCAGAAAATTGGGAGAGAGAAGAAGAAGAAGAAGAAGAAGAAGAAGCCTTAATGTTATTGTAGATACACCTGCATTCACCAATAATACTAAAATTAGCATCTTCCAACACCATATCCGCAGCTTCTCTTGCCAACCAAATTATTGGGGGTAGTCAAATATTGATCCAAGTAAACACAAGTATGATTCCACGATTTGGTTATGGGATCAGAATATACTGAGTCGCCACAAGTAGCACCGTCATAATATGGCTTGGCCATTATATTCCTCAATTTAACCCTACGTCTATCATGCAATTATCGCAGGATCACACATTTGCTACAGTTTAATTAAAGAATCCGCCGATAAGGATATAATAATATGCGTACAAGTTCTTTCTAAAGAATGATAGGTTTGCCGTGAACACGGTGTGTTACAGAAAAAATCCTACAAGGGGGTCTAGCCAAAATACTTGGGGCTCCTAAAGATAATGGCGATCCTGTACATTAGAAGTATTTCAAAAAAGAAAAAAAAAATCAAAGGACCTTAATAACACATGACAAAAGACAAAACTTTAATCATCAACATTTTAAAAAAGTTTTAAAGGAAAAGAAAAGACAATTCAAAGTCGTCTCTGGTCCTCAACTAATGATTTCTTTAATTTGCAGAGGCCCTGAGCTCATGTAAATCAAAAAGTCATCTGCACTAAACAATATTTGACTGTTTGCAAACTGCAACGACGAGTTTTATGGCAGAATGGTGGCCAATAAGAAAGGCCTGATAAAAGCCTGTACTTAATGTTTGCAAACTCACAAAATTTTATTATTTTACACATTTGGATAAGTGTATCATAATAAAGAAGGGGTTTAGGAGCTTGCTCTTCAAGATAATGTGTGGAGAGCAACCCTTCCCAAACCAAACTCTGTCCCTTTCGATCCCACCAGTTGAGGTTATTTGGTTTAATCCTTTTGTTAGAAAAAAACATATTTTTGGGCAGGTATATTTAGCTTTGGATCTTTTAAATACGTACTTTTAAAAAAAAAATTGTTTGCGATTTTTACATACATATGATTCAGTCTCAAGAAGTTTTTTAAAAAAAGAAATATATATTATTTAAAGAGGGTAAATTAGTAGTATATTTTTGAAAATTCACGTGTCAAATAACTACGAAACATTCTTTATGAAAAACGCCAATGCACTTGGTCAATGAAAAAAAAATGCCAACCTCGGACCATAATTTAATACGAAGATTATCCGCACAATGGCTCTTTCCCTTTAGCCACCTTTTTTTAAGCCTCATCCCTTTAGGCCGTCTAACTCCCGCCTAACAACACAAACACGTGGTGGAAGTCTCACTATAAAATCAACGAAGCTTATTCTCATTCCTCTCATCAACAACATTATCTCGAAGAGGAATCAGAACCAGAACCAGAATCAGAATCAGAAAGAAGAAGATGAACTCTGTTTGGAGATCAAACTGGATGAATGAAGTTGGGGAAGGCGTGCCCACAATGAGAGCAACGTACGTGAATCTGTATAAGTGGCCAGAATCAGATGCTGAGTTTATAAGAAGTGTGAGCTCCAACAGGAGAAATGGGAACAACCCCACAGTGGTGGATAGTGTCTCTTGCAGACAGGTGTTTCTGAGGAGCTATAAGTTTTCCAGAAAACAGAGTATTGCTGAGAAGACGCACCTGTGTTTT